TGATGCTGCTTGGACTGCTGTGTTCATCCAGCTCTACACCTTGTTAGCTCAGATTCTCCAGCATCTGCAGTTCCTACTATCTCCAGGACAGTAAGGAAGATTTTACAGATACAGAACATTGTGGTGGGGTCACATGTCACACAACACGAACCCAAGATCACGGTTGAGGCCATCTTCATGAATACGGAACTTGGCTATCAGTTCCTGCTGGGTGATTCTGCCTTGTTGTGTATCTCGAAGGCCGCCTTGGAGGACGCTTACCCGAAGATTGGAAGCTGAATTTCCTTGACCACTGAAGTGTTCCCCGACTGGGAGGGAGCATTCCTGTCTGGCGATTGTTTTGCGGTGTCCATTCATCCGTTTTTGTAGCATCTGCATGGTCTTGCCTCGGAGCATCCTTGCCTGCAGCATATGACATACACAACACTGGCTGAGTCATATGAATATCTGCTGTGTACGCGATGGGTGGTGTTCCCATGTGTGATAGTAATATCCATGTCAATGATCTGACATGTCTTGCAGAGGTTGCCTTGGCAGGGTTGTGTGGCGTTGTGGTCGATGTTCTCCTGAAGGCTGGGTAGTTTGCTGTGAATGATGGTTTGTTTACGGTTTGGCGGTTGTTTGAAGGCGAGAAGTGGAGATATAGGGAACATCTTGGCAAGATGCTCATTGTCATCGATGACATGTTGAAGGCTGCGAAGTACATGGCGTAGTCTCTCCGCTCCGGGGAAGTACTGGGCGACGAAGGGTACTTTATGAGTCGTATCCTGTGTCTGTCTTGAGGAGGTCGTTGCGGTTTTTCACTGTGGCACGTTGGAACTGTTGATCGATGAGTTCAGCATCGTGTATCATTCTTATGAGGGCGCCTTTCAAAATCTTTAGGTGTCTGTTCCATTCCTCCTCATCTGAGCAGGTCCTGTGTATGCGCAGGGCTTGTCCGTAGGAGATAGCTTCTTCAATATGTTTAGGGTGGAACTAGAGAAGTGCAGCATCACGAGCTTATCCATGGGCTTCCAGTTGAGTGAGGTACTGAGGTATCTGTCCTTGATGGAGATGCGTGTGTCCAAGAATGAGACTGATTCTGAAGAGTAGTCCATCGTAAGTGTGATGGTGGGATGAAACTTGTTGATATCACTATGTAGTCATTTCAATGATTCCTTGCCATGAGTCCAAAGGAAGAAAATGTCATCAATGTATCTGGTGTATAGCATTTGTCGGAGATCTTGCGCTTGAACTTGTGCATGAAAATGTCGACATATTGGGATGCAAATACGATCCCCAAGGCTGTTCCGTGTGTCTGGACGAAGAACAGGCTGTCGAAGGTGAAGACGTTGTGGTCAAGGATGAAACAGATGAGTTGTAGGATGGTGTCTGGAAATTGGCAGTTTGAGTACTGAGGCTGTTGCAGCGATGCCATCATTGTGGGGGATGCTGCTGTAGAGTGCCAAAACATCCATTGTGACAAGGAATGTTCCTGGTTTGACTGGTCCGTGGGTGCTGAGTTTCTGTAAGAAATCTGTTGTGTCGCGACAGAAGCCGGGGGTTCCTTGTACAGTGAGTTTCAAGATGCCCTCTACATAGCCAGAGAAGTTCTCACACAGGGTCCCATTGCCTGATACGATGGGACGTCCAGGCTTTGTGTATCTTTGGAAGGCAGTAGAACTCTCCAACATGAGAAATATGCAGGATGACAGTGCATAGGATACTCTGAAGGGCTGGATCAAAGGTCTTGATCAGTCTGTTCAGTAGAAGGTTGTGTTCTTTGGTCAGATCGGCAGATAGTTGTCTGTAGTGTTCTCGGTTGTTTAGCTGTCGGCATGCCTATTTGCAGTAGTATGTTCAGTTCTGTAGGATGTTGACTCCTCCTCTGTCTGCTGGTTTGATGACAATGTTGCAATTGGTCTTGAGAGCATGGATGGCATTACATTATGTTCTGCACTGTCTTATGAACACGGCTGACGAATCTGGCATTAACGCATCTCCTGACGGCTTAAGCATACATGTCGAGCCTAGGGCAATGGCCTTCTGGAGTGGTCCAACTCGACTCTTTTTTCTTTGGTCACTCCACCATGGATCTCTCTGTCGACTGTTCTGGTTCGTTGGTAGTCTGTTCGGGCTCGCTGCTGACATCTCGGGATTTGAGGAAGAATTCCCAGAGCCTCAGCCCCCTGATGAATTCCTCTGTGTCTGCCACAAGACCAATGGGGTCCGTTTTGGTAGCGGGGCAGAAATTGAGCCCTTGGCTGAGAACTTTGATTCCATCTGGTTGAAGGGTGTGCTCCAACAAGTTGACAATAGATTTCCCAGTGGTCGACGGGGTCTGGTATTGAGGGTCCAGGTGTGAGGGGAATTGGTGGGGTTTGGGTGGGGGTCTGGTGTTTATGGGTGGCCCAATTGTGCAAGGGCACTGCCACTCCTGCTGCTCTGCTCCCTACCGCCCCCCCCGCCAAATTCTGGGGCAATGGGAGGGAACAGGAAGATCCTAAAGAAATGGTTCTGTTGCAGCTGCTTTCCTCCTTGCTCTCTGGCTATGCATAGCCCACCCATTCCGAAAAAAAAATCAAACAGACCAAAGGAACTGCAGATGCTGGAAATCTGAAACAAAAACAGAAATTGGCTGGAAAAACTCAGCAGGTCTGGCAGCCTCTGTGGAGAGAAATCAGAGTTAACTCTTCTTCAGAACTAATGGGAACTAGGAAAAGGATGTTGTTTTAAAATCCAGAAAAGTGCGTGGGTGGGCGAGGAAATGATAGCTAGAGATAGAAAAACAGTTGGGCAGGCAAAGGAGTGGATAAAGGTCAGCCTGGGAGAATGAATCGCTGTTAATGGGGACTGTTAGAGGCTAACAATGGGTAATTTGTTTGAGCAGACCATGTAATAACAAGGCCTGGTGTGTGGGGTTTGGGGTTAAGGACACGGGAGAAGGTGCCTCAAGCCCTAAAATTGTTGAACTCGATATTGAGTGCAGAAAGCCAGAGTTCCCAAGTGGAAAATGATGTGTTGTTCTACCAGCTTGCTATGACATTCTCTGGAGCACTCCAGCAAGCCTGAGACAGAGATGTTGGCCAGGGAACAAGGTGATGTGTTGAAGTCAATCAGTGTGGAGCTTGAAAAGCACAGCAGGTCAGACAGCATCCGAGGAGCAGGAAAGTTAACGTTTCGGGCCGAAACCGTTCGACAGGACTGTTTCAGGCAACTGGAAGCCCAGTGGCATTTTTGCCGACAGAACTTATGTGTTCTGCGAAGTGGTCACCCAGTCTGCGCTTTGTTTCCCCAATGTAAAGGAGACCTACAAATATCAAATTACGTTCAGCAACAATCCTCCGTGAAGCAACGCTCCCCATTTCTGCTGAGCTCTGTCCAGCCAATGTGCCACATCTCACTGTGAACTGTAAAGTTAACACGCAAGAATGCATTAACAATGGCAGACTTTCGGAACAGGCTCACTTCACAGTATTCTGCCCCAGTGCTCCCAGTTCTGCTGGAGGGTCAGTGACCTGAAATGGGTTTTCTTGGATCGTCCAGCATACCAAGCGTCATACGAGTCAGACAGCACGGAAACAGGCCCTTCAGCCCAACTCTCCCATGCCGACCAGATATCCTCGTCCCATTTTACAGCATCTTGCCCATATTCTGTGATTCCGTGATTCTGTAATCCATCTCAACCCTTCCTATTCACACACCCATCCAGATGCCTTTTAAATGTTGTAATTGTACCAGCCTCCACCACTTCCTCTGGCAGCTCGTTCCATACACGCACCACTCTCTGTGTGAAAAAGTTGCCCAAGTCCCTTTTAAATCTTTCCCCTCTCACCTTAATTCTATGCCTTCTAGTTTTGGACTTCCCTACCCTGGGGAAAAGACCTTGGCTATTCACCCTATCCATGCCTCTCACAATTTTATAAACCTCTATAAAGGTCACCCCCTCAGCCTCCGACACTCCAGGGAAAATAGCCCCAGCCTATTCAGTCCCTCCCTGTAGCTCAAACCATCCAACCTGGGCAACATCCTTGTAAATCTTTCCTAAACCCTTTCAAGTTTCCACAAATTTCCTACAGCACGGAGAAGAGAATTGAATGCTGAATTCCAAAAGTGGCTTAATTAATGTCCTGTACAGCTGCAACATGACCTCCCAACTCTTATACTCAACGCACTGACCAATAAAGGCAAGCATACCAAACGCCACCTTCACTATCCTGTCTACCTGAGACTTCACTTTCAAGGAAGCTATGAACAAGGTCTCTTCGTTCAGCAACACGCCCAACAATACCTTACCATTAAGGGAGCCAGCCTTTAAAAAAAAATAGTGGTGTATGAACTGTGAGGTAAAACTGTGGGATTTTATTTTGTTGAACTTTATTTATTGTAAGCATTAAAGCATTATCAATGTCGGACGTATCCCACAATTCTCCAGTCAACAACAAGAAGTGGCTTCATTTGGATCGTGCTGTTCCTCATTTTCCATCAGTATTGCTGCTTGAAAGGACAGGAAGTGATTGTGTGTCGGATGACGTTTTTAATAAACCGGCTCTTCTTGCTATAAAAGGTTTCAGCTGCCAGCCCCTCCCCTGCCCTGGGAACCTGCTCCTCTTGGTTTTCTTCATTCAATTTATTGCCCCGTCTCCCCCCTAATTGCCCCCCTTCAGAAAGTGGGGTGGGGGACGGTGAGCCGTCTTCTTGAGCCGCTGCAGTCTGTGTGGTGTGGAGACACCCATACAGTGCTGTGCGAGAGGAAGTGGGGCTCAGGATCCTGTGTTGGACATTGTGGGGGTGGGGGGGGGGGGGGAGGGTGGGATGGAGGGCTGAGGGGAAACAGAGGTGAGATTCCCTCAGCGGAGTTTTGGGAAGTTCACTCAGAGGGGAGTCCTCAAGAGCTTGTGGGTTGTGGCGGGGGCGGGGCGAGGCGAGGTGTAGCGTTGTGAGGATTGGAATCTTTCTCTTCCCAGATGTGGCCTCACTGAGCCTGTGGCCTTCAGGATTGGAGGAGACCTATGCCAATGCAACCCCTTCAGGGTAACCTGGTTCCTACTTCATCGGAACACTGCAATTTGTACCCGCTGTGGGTCAGCGGGCGGATCCCTTGCCTTGGAGTCTAAGGGTTCAAACACCACTCTCGAGATGCAGTCACTCCCAAAGCACCCTTAAGTCATGGATTCACAGCCCCTGTTGTAATGTACGAAACCAGAGAATCAATTTACTCACAGGAAGCCCCTGCAACACAAAAAGGGTCAAACCATCTCACTGCCATTAGATGTGAGAGATGAACACTGGTTTTGATCCACTGACATCAGCCTGAGGCCTATCCTCATCACCGCCTATTGCACTGACAGTACTGGTATCACTAGGAAACCTGATCGCCAATTCTGTGCGTAAAGTGAGGATCAACAGAGCGAAATCCAAACCACCATCGCATACTGAATAACCATAGCCTTAAACCACCCACTGCTTCCTGACACTCAGCCATTTTGAGTCCATACTGCCCAGCTGCCCTTATCTCCATGCCTTTCATCTGAACACATCCCCTTTGAAGAACTTTGTCAAATGCCTTCTGAAAGTCCATAAGAAAGCCCATACAAATGGGCATTATTTCTAGCCAACTATTTCCAACTAGATGGAGTTTAATTTGGATAAACGTGAGGCATTGCATTTTGGTAAAATACACAAGAGCAGGACTTGGGCATCAGAGAGACCTAGGAGTTAAGATGCCTAATTCTTTGAAGTTTGCGTCACATATAGACAGGCTGGTTAAGAAGGTGTTTAGCACACTTGCCTTCATTGCTCAGACCTTTGAGTATAGGAGTTGGGACGTCATGTTGAGGTTGTACAGGTCGTTGGTGAGACCTCTTCTGGAGTGCTGTGTCCAGTTCTAGTCCCCCTGTTATAGGAAGGTTATTAATAAGCTGGAGAGGGTTCAGAAAAGATTTACCAGTATGTTGCTGGGAATGGAGGGTTTGAGTTATCAGGAGAGGCTGGGACTTTTTTCACTGGAGCATAGTATGTTGAGAGGTGACCTTATAGAGGTTTATAAAATCATTAGGGATGTAGGTGAGGTGAATGGGAGGTGTCTTTTCCCTAGGGTGGGGGATTTCAAGACTAGGGGGCATATTTTTAAGGTGAGAGGAGAAAGATTTTAAAAAGTCATGAGGGGCAAATTTTTTTTTTTTTTTGTTTTACACAGAGGAGGTGGTTCGTGTGTGAAATGAACTCCCAGAGGAAGTGGTGGATATGGGCACAGTTACAACGTTTAAAAGACATTTGGATAAGTCCATGAATAAGAAATGTTTGGAGGAATATGGGGCAGGAGCAGGCGGGGGGGAACGAGTTTAGTTTGGGATTATGATCAGCATGGACTGGTTGGACCGAGGGGTCTGTTTCTGTGCTGGATGACTCTGACTAACTAAAATAAAATGAAACAAACCATCTGTTTAGAATACAAATTTGAAGATTTTTAAACATGCAAGAAGAGTATAAACTCATTTATCACAAAATGCCATGTTATAAATTGAACAGATACAAAATAGATTTTGTATAATACCCAAAACTTGCTCCTCTAACAGAAACTGGAACACCACTCGTACAATGATCACACAAGAATACCTGTATCAAACACCTTGGCAGTTTTCAGCTTCATGTGACTTCGACGTTTCGACTGGAACTGTAATTGACTTCTTCCTGGAGCTATCATATACCTGAGGTACAATGTACTCATACTTAAGTAACCTCTTCAGGGTTTTATTCCAACACCTTTGGTCTGGGACTGACACTAACTCCTCACTCTGAGGGAAACTAATTCATTGCACCTTCCCTGCCCAGGAGTACAGCTCTCGACAGACATCCCATTGCAAGGAATTCACAGGATTGCTAACTTCAGACACAGACTAACCCACCGTTAAGGAACTCAAAAGACCAGAAACTTACAATCAAAATTTTTTCTAAAATCCACTGTTTACATCACAGTTAATACATTATCGCATTTTCCCTTGACTAACTATTTATGGTCTTGAATTTGTCAATTTTTTGAGGTGAAACAGATATCCATACACCTCATCACACAGCTCCATAGGCCAGTCACATTTTCTCAAGAATTATCTCCTTGATGTTTTGAGCAGGCAGCAACAACTGTGAAGAGTCATGCACATTTCAATCAATTTGGGCTTTCATTGTAACAACATCACAAAAGATGCTGCTCCATCACCTTGCCTGGTTTCATCGGAATCCAGTCCAAATTCCAAATGACTGTCTTCTGGACTGCATTAACATCCTTCCTTGCACGAGGGGACCAGTACTGTACACAATACTCCAGATGCAGTGCCCTGTACAACTTGTGTGTAACCCCTGTACTGATGTATCCAATTCTTCTTTCAATAAACTGTAACATTTTCGAACCTTCGCTAATTACTTGCTGTACCTGCACACTAACCTTCATGTACTAAGCTGCCCAGATCCCTCTGCATTTCAGAGCTCCACGACCTCTCCCCCCCCCGACTGGAACATGCTGCGTGATTTCAGGGGAACCATCCCAAAGGAATTGGATGGAGATGAGACGGAAAGATGGGATGGATAATGTCGAGAGTGGCTGGGCAGCCACGGCAGGTGAGAGAAGAGACCCTGAAGCGATGGGCAGGTGGCGAAACTGTATTGGGTTGACCCACTTTTACCTGCATCTCTCTCTGCTGGGATTGGGGCATGAGCTGAGAGGGTGGGGGAGGTGGGGAGTGTGGGGCACACAAGGTGAAGGGTCAGGCGGGCAGTTCGCATCTGGTCCTGCCACTGGCGCTCACGGGGCACCACCTCTGGCTCGGAACGTCGGGACCGGCTGCGTGAATTCGGGAAGCCTGGGACTGCAGTGGGGTCAGCTCCCTCGGAGGGAAGACCCCTGGCTTGAGTTCCTGAATCAAATTCCGGGAATAGCTGGAGGAGAAAGCCTTTTCGCCTATCTCCTCAACACTGGTTCCTCCAGCCCTGTGACCACTCTCTCACCCTCTACCATTCCTTACTCGCGGAATTACATTGGATACACTGTGTCAAAACAGATCATGTGACTCAACTACTCCCCATCCCCGCATCCTCCCCAAACATTCATCCTCAGAGACTGTCACCCTAAATCCTTTAGCCCCTCGCTCTCTCATTTTTCTAAAAAAAAAATTAACTCACGGAACGTGGGTGTCGCTGTCTGGGCCAGCATTTGTTACCCATCCTTAGTTGCCCCTTGAAATGAGAGGGGGCAATCGTGTTGGCAGAGGGCAGGTAAGAGACAACACATTGCTGTGGGGTCTGGAGTCACTTGTAGGCCAGACTGGGTAAGGATGGCACACGTACTTCCCTAAAGTGGGCATGGACCGGACTCAATGGAAGTTTTTTGTGGTCATCGTTATCTTCATGCTGAAACAATTTTGCAAACTATTGACAGTGGTCACCATGACATGAATGTTTCAATTCCAATTGTTTCACGGAATCAAATTCCACCATCCGTCATGGTGGGATTTGAACCCTAGAGCTTTTGTTTAACTGTGGACGTGGGGTGGGGGTCAATGATCCGATGCTAATAGCAATGTGTCCACTTCATGTACCTGTCTACCTCCCTCTCAAATACACAGATACGATTCTCCCCCTGTGGGACCGAGCTCCACACTCTGCCCCCACTATCTGGGAATGGGATTCCTTCTGGAATTCCCCAGTGTCTCATCTTGACAGCCTCTGGATTCTGCTCTTGTCCCCAGCAAGAGGGGACGTCCCCTCTGTATCTAAAACACCGCTATCTGGTCACCCCTCAGCATCCATTTAGAAACTGCGCCCCCACCCCACTTCCATCACCACCCACTCCCATGGTCCCCCTATCCCCTCCAGATCTAAATTCTCCTGTCCGCAGCTGGTCGTCTCAGCCTTGGCACTTCCTTCGTCCGACGGATTGAACCTTACCCACCAACCCCCTTCTTCCCTCCTTCCAATCCGTTTCGCACTGTCCCTTTAGCAAATCCACACCCTTTGTTCAGAAACACAGTGGCAACCAGGACAGGGTGGGGGTGTGTGGTCAGAGAGGGCAATTCTGCTGTGAGGGTCCCACCCCATCTTTGATGCCCACTCGGGGAAGGAGCATGCCCAGGAGGTGCCTCGGTTTCTGAGTTCCCAGGATTCCAGAGCCTAACGGGAGGGACACACACACACACACACACACACACACACACAGACAGTCCGGGAATGGCTTCCAAAATTCTTTAGTGCACACAACACCGTGGGATCCATCCAAAAAACAGGCAGCCATCAGATTCCAGCACGGAGATCAGCTGCCCACAGCAGATACCAGTCGTGACCTTGCATTGTCTCAAAATCCACCCCCCCACCTCGTGATGCCCAACTCTTCCAGTACATCCAGTTGACAAGTATTACAGAAAGGACCAATATTGACGGTTCGGACTGACCTGTTCCTTCCTGCTCCTTGTTCGCTTCAATTTAACAAGTGGGTAAGGCCCCCAGGGATCACCAGAACCAAACCTGAGACATCTTCCCGGGTTGGACAATCTCACTGGCGTCCGTGGGTCTTGGAACATGGGACCTGGTTAGATTGCGGAAAGACATAGCTCTGGTGGCTGTTTTCCCTGGAGCGTCGGAGGCTGAGGGGTGGCCTTACAGAGGTTTATAAAGTCATGAGGGGCATGGGGAGGGTGACTGGCCAAAGCCTTTTCCCCACGGTAGGGGAGTCCAAAACTGGATGGCATAAGTGAGAGGGGAAAGATTTAAAAGGGACCTGAGGGGCAACTTTTTCACACAGAGGGTGGTGCATGTCTGGAATGAGCTGCCAGAGGAAGTGGTGGAGGCTGGTACAATTACAACATTTAAAAGGCATCTGAATGGGTATATAACTAGGAAGAGTTTAGAGGGATATGGGCCAAATGGTGGCAAATGGAACAAGCACCACCACCACAATGGTGGCGCACAGCAAGATCCCACTGAGGGCCCAGCGATTTTGTGGTTGCGCTACACATGCTGGGTGGAGACCAGCGGAGAAGGGGGGTGGGGGGGATGGTGTGTGAAGACATTGTGTGTTTGAGAGTTCGTTGGGGATGGGGGGAGGATCTGGCTTAGAAGAGACTACCCCTTGGCAATGGCCCCTGTTGGAGCCTGTCATGGCAGCACAGTCGTGGGCAAGTGCGCGTCATAAAAGCCAGTGTGCTCCCCCCTGCTCAAGGCCGTCCTGATTTCGGCACAAAACGTACCCCAGAATCCACCAGGAGCAGAGATTGAGGGAGGGGGTGTTGCCCTTGTTCAAAAAGGGGCCTAAGGCCCTATTGAAACCAGCCAAGGTCCATCTCAAGTCTCCATTGGTGAGGACATGTCATTCTGACCAGCTGCCACCAGGTGTCAGTGGTGCAACACACCACCAACAACAACTTCGATTTCAACAGCACCAAATTCAAACGTTACCCTAGAGGGACAGCGAGAGAGACATCCCGAACACTTGGCCCCCAGTTCGCGTCAGGAATGAGAACACGAGTGCCCAGCAACCTCGCAACAACGTATGTCCCAGGAGTGAAGAGCTGAGGAGGTACACATTGTTGCGACTGGGGCACTCTTAGGTGAGATCTTGATGATTGCAGGGTGGAAAATGTGGGCACAGAATTTCTCTGCTCAACAACTTGCTAACCCTTGAGGTTCCAATCCCTCACCCCTTGGAGGAATTCCTCACTGTGCATTCCGTCCTGGGACACCTCACAAACAACTGCCCTTTGATCAGCTCCATTTCCAGATGTCTTGTATTTACGCAGGATTTATAATTTAAATATTTACATATCCAGTGACACATATCCCATTGTGACAGAGCCGTTCTTGTTACCTCGACAGGAAAACTGAAAGGATGTCGTCAATGTTCATCGTCAACGTCCATCAAAGTCAGCCCAAGTTGGCCACCTTTGATGTTCGCCAATGTCTGTCATCAATGTTGGCCAATGTCTGCCATCAATGTCCACCAATGGCCATCAATGTCTGCCAATGGCCGCCACCAATGTCCGCCAATGGCCGCCACCAATGTCCGCCTAGGGCCACCATCAATGTCTGCCCATGTCCGCCATCAATGTCCGCCACCAATGTCCGCCAATGGCCACCATCAATGTCTGCCAATGGCCGCCACCAATGTCCGCCAATGGCCGCCACCAATGTCCGCCTAGGGCCACCATCAATGTCTGCCCATGTCCGCCATCAATGTCCGCCATCAACGTCCGCCAATGGCCGCCATCAACGTCCGCCAATGGCCGCCATCAATGTCCGCCAATGGCTGCCATCAATGTCCGCCAATGGCTGCCATCAATGTCTGCCAAAGGCCGCCATCAATGTCTGCCAATGGCCACCATCAATGTTTGGCAATGCCCACCATCAGTGCCTGCCAGTATCTGCCATCAGTGCAGTGCCATTTCCCAGAGACTCCATTCAAGCGATGTTGGTTGCCCGAAGCTCGTGGGCCATGCCATTGTCAGAGCTGGTGCTGGGTGTGCGGCCCGTGCTGACGGCATGATCCTGGGGCTGCGGAAAGGAACAGAGAGAGAGGGGGGCTTGAGGAGTCAGCTTGCCCGTCATCCCAACAACCCCCCTCAACTGTCCGATGATGCCAACACCCTTCACCCCTAGCTCCCCCCCAATCACCCCCGCTGCCGGCTGCCACCTACTCTGCGGAACTGTCCAGTCTCTGTTCACTGCAGGGCCCAGTCGGGAAGCCTGCTCTACATCACTCTGAGCTTCAGGGACTTCTGGTCGACTCAGGGCAAAAACAGAAGCGAGGCATACGCGCGCACCCGCCCTACCCACCACCACCTCCCCTCCAACCCCCGACAAACTCCCACCCTCCCCCCCACGTTCTGAGCTTGCTGTGAGGAGCAGGCTGAGTCCCTCCCTTCTGCACTGCCCCAGGAACACGGTACCATTTCCTGCTAACAATGGCACCTCTACCACACTGCAGCTGGTAAGAGTCAGAGTTCAGATGGGACTTTGAACTCAGTGGGGGGGTAGGGGCTCAGCTGTATGGAAAATTATGGAGAATATTAAAATGGGGGGAGGGCTCAACAGCGCTTATGAGAGTCTCCAGAACAAGTAGCAGGACAGACGGTACAGGAAAGGGTCGGGAGTCTAACTTCAGCAGGTAACGGACACCAATGGGAAGGGTACACCTGACGGTGTTGTATTTCAACACGCGCAGTGTACGAAACAAGGTAAATGTAGCGCAGATTGAAATCGATGTTGTGGGCATCACAGAGACGTGGCTGCAAGGGCATCAGGGCTAGGAACTGAATACCCAAGGACACACGTCCTGTCGAGAGGGCGGGCACATGGGCAAGGGATTGCCCTGTTCGTAAGAAATGAAATTAAATCGACAGCAAGAAGTGATATAGAGTGGGGAAGGGGTAGAACCTGTGTGGATAGATTTGAGGACCTGAGAAAAAGTCCCCCCCACCAACCCCCGAGGGGAGCTGTGTACAGACCCCCCCCCAACCCCGGCAGTAGTCAGCAAGTGGCACAGCAAATAAATCAGGAGATGGAAAAGGAATGGAACACAATGACAGTAATCCCGAGGGACTGCAATACGCAGGCGGACTGGGAAAACCAGGCTGGTAACGCGTGTCAAGAAAAGGAATTTGTGGAATGTCTACGAGTTGGGGTTTTTTTTGGAGCAGCTTGTGGTACAGCCCACAGGGAAACAGGCAGTTCTGGATTTGGTGATGTTTAATGAGGCAAACTCGATTAGGGAGCTGAAGGTGAAGGGACCGTGAGGGGGCAGTGAGCGTAATGTAATCGAACTCACCCTGCAGTTTGAGAGGGAGAGGCTGGACTCAGATGTTACTGAGTCAAGGCAGCTACAAGGATCTGAGGGAAGAGCTGGTCAGAGTTGACTGGAAGGGGAGCCTGGCAGGGAAAGACGGTGGAGCAGTGATGGCAGGAGTTTCTGGGGGTAAATCAGGGAGGCAGAAATTCATCCCAAGGAGGAAGAAACATACAAAGGGGCAGATGAGGTAACTGTGGCTGACAAGGGGAGTCAGGGGAAGCATAAATGCGAAAATAAAAACACACAATGTGGTGTAGCTTAGCAGGAAGCTAGAGGATTGGGAAGCCTTTCAAAACCAGCACATGATCACTGAAAAAGCAATAAGGCTGAGGAGGGTGAAATCTGAGAGTAAGCGAGCTAGTAATATAAAAGAAGATTGCAAGAGCTGTTTATAGATATTGAAAAGGTAAGAGAGAGGAGCAAGAGTGGACATAGATCCGCTGGAATATGAGGTTGGAGAAGTAGTCATGGGGATCAAAGAAATAGCAGAGGAACAGAACAGGCACCTTGTGTCAGTGGAAGACACCAGCAGCCTGCTGGAACTTGGAGAGAGCCAGGGGCAGAGGTGGGTGTAGTGTCCATCACTCAGGAGAAGGTGCCGGGGAAGCTGAAAGGTCTGTAGGTGGATAAATCACACGGACCAGATGGACTACATCCCAGAGTTCTGAAGGAGATAGCTGAGGGCGATGTAGAGGTGTTGGTGGGGATCCTTCGGGAATCACTGGGGTCAGGGAGGGTCCCAGAGAACTGGAAAATGGTGAATGTCACCCCTCTGTTTAAAAAGGGAGGAAGGCAGAAGACAGGAAACTATAGGCTGGTTAACCTGGCCTTGTTGAGTAATAAGATTTTAGAGTCTGTTATTAAGGATGAGATTGTGGAGTACTTTAGGGAGTGAAGGTAAAATAGGGCCGAGTCAGCTCAGCTTCATCATAGGGAGGACACGCCTGAGAAATCTGTTAGAATTCTTTGAGGAGGTAATGCGCCAGTTAGACAAAGGAGAGCCAGTGGATGTGATCTATTTGGATTTCCAGAAGGTCTTTGACAAGGTGCAGCGCAGGAGGCTGCTCAATATAATAAAAGCCTACAGTGTAAGGGGCAAGGTACTGGCATGGATAGAGGGTTGGCTGGCACAAGGCAGGCAGTGGGGGATAAAGGGGTTTCAGGATGGCAGCTAGTGACTGGTGGAGTTCTACAGGGGTCTGTGTTGGGACATTATACATTAATGATCAGGACAAAAGAACTGAGGGCATTGTTGCTAAGTTTGCAAATGACACAGAGGTGGAGGGACAGGTAGTGTTGAGGAAGCCGGGAGGCGTCGGAAGGACGTGAACGGGCTGGGAGAGTGGGCAAAGAAGTGGCAGATGGAATACAATGTGGGAAAGTGTGAGGTTGTGCACTTTGGTTGGAAGATTCGAGGCATAGACATAAACAGGGAACGGCTTAGGAAACTTGAATCATAGAATCCCTACAGTGTGGAAGCAGGCTATTCGGCCCATCCAGTCACAATGACGCTCTGAAGAGCATCCCACCCACACCTACCCCTGTAACTCTGCATTTCCCATGGCTAACCCAACTAGCCAGCACATCCCTGGACGCTGTGGGCAATTTAGCACGGCCAATCCACCCTGACCTGCACACGTGTGGACTGTGGGAGGAAACCGGAGTACCCTGAGGAAACCCACACAGACACAGGGAGAATGTGCAAACTCCACACAGATAGTCACTCGAGGGTGGAATCGAACCCGGGTCCCTGGTGCTGTGAGGCAATAGTGTTAATCACAGAACCAGCATGTACTGAAATGCAAAGATACTTGGGAGTCTTAGTTCAGGATTCTCTGAAGGTCAACATGCAAATTCATTTGGGAGTTAGGAAGGCAAATGCAATGTTAGCATTTATTTCCAGAGGGCTAGAATACAAGAGTAGGGACGTACTGCTCAGGCTGTATTCGGCTCTGGTCAGACTGCATTTGGCATACTGTGAGCAGTTTGGGGCCCTGTATCCAAGGGAGGATGTGCTGGCATTGGAGGGGGTCCAGAGGAGGTTTATAAGAATGATCCTGGGCATGAGGGGCTTGCCATATGAGGAGGTGAGGACTCTGGGTCTGTACTCGTTGGAGTTTAGAAGGCTGAGGGGGAATCTGATTGAAACTTACAGAATACTGAGAGACCTGGATAGAGTGGGCACGGAGAAGACTAGGAGAGACTAGAACCCAGAGTGGGGGGCACAGACTTGGAGTGAAGAGACGACCCTTTAGAACGGAGATGAGGAGAAATTTCTTCACACAGAGGTTGGTGAATCTGTGGAACTCAGAGGGCTGTGGGGGCCAGTTCATTTAAGACGGAGATCAATAGGTTCGTGATGAGTGAGGGGGTCAAGGGTTACAGGGAGAAGCAGGAGAATGGGGTTGAGAAACATGTCAGCCATGATTGAATGGTGGAGCAGATCCAACAGGCTGAATGGCCTCAATCTGCTCCTGGATCTTATAAAAAGGTCCCCATGAGCTCCTTGCCTGTTGCATCCCTGCCCTGACATGGTGACACTCACTGTTCTCCACCCTTCCCCCAGGCCTGGGCACCATCTCCTTGCCCCAGGCCTTGTCACCATCTCTTGCCCCAGGACTGGGCACCATCTCCTTGCCCTAGGACTGGGCACCATCTCCTTGCCCCAGGCCTGGGCACCATCTCCTTGCCCCAGGCCTGGGCACCATCTCCTTGCCCTAGGACTGGGCACCATCTCCTTCCCCCAGGCCTGGGCACCATCTCCTTCCCCCAGGCCTGGGCACCATCTCCTTGCCCAGGCCTGGTCACCAGTGTTAACCTATGCTTACGTGACGTCGGAAAATTCGGTCGAGCAGGCTCCTCTTGGGAGGTTCCGGAAGCCGATTCCAGTCCAGATCCGGTGAGCGGATCCCGTTTGGTCCGAAGACATTCAACTCCTTGAAGCACTCCGTCTCGATCATCTGCACAAAATGTTTGGGGAGGGGATTGTGGGGTCGGGGTGATAGAAAGAAGAAAGAGCAGTCAAGAAGGGGCAGTAACTAAGCAGGCCATGTGTCCTAGCAACCCCAGCTGAGGAGGAGTCAGGAGGCCAAGGGAATTAAACGCAGGCCCTGGAGACACCTTGCCAACTTGACACAAGACAGCTTGGATACGTGGCCCTTGAGGTTCGCCTTTAGCCCGGAGCAGCTCACCGGTTACGGCGGGGGGGGGGGGGGAATTGGTGAGGGTCCACAACCAGGGAGTCACAATCTAAGGATATGGGGTAGGACTGAGATGAGGAGAAATGCCTTCACCCAGAAAGTGGTGGAGAGCCTGTGGAATTCCCTGCCACAGAAAGTGGTCAGGGCCAAAGCATCGAATGTTTTCAAGAAGGAGCTGGATATTGTTCCTGGGGCTGAAGGGATCGGAGGGTGAAAGTGAGAAACAGGGGGCCAAGATGGATGATCAGCCCACGATTGTATTGAATGGGACAGCAGACTCGAAGGGCTGGACAGTCTACACCTATTCCTACTGTTTACACATGTGCAGCTTGCTGAAAGCTCAGAAAGACAAACCTTTCGCCATTTACAAAGTAGAATGCCCCCAAGAGAAACAAGTGAGAGTGGCTCAATGAAGGTCCCTCATTTCTGAGTCCGTGGGAAATGGCTGCCCTTTCACTCTGCTCTCTGCCCCACTTGGCTCAAGGGTGGTGGAGGCAGGATCGATCGACGCTCAGGCACAGGAAAACGGGATGAATCTGAAAGGAAGGGTGCCCCAGGATGACAGGAGGATGTGAGTGACCCGGGTGGAGAGCTAGTACAGGCCAGGATGGGCTGATCAGTCTCCTTGGGCACCATTCCCAACTCCGAACGAGTGACGTTTTGGACGGCGGCGTTTTGTGAGCGACTGTTTTGAGCCGACCTGAACTCGGGGTGCAAAGAAAAAATTATTCCTTTCCTTGACGAGAGTGCAGAAGAGCAATTCTGACGATGGGGTAAAAGACATTCCCTGAAACATGAGGTGTAAAACTCCCGAGTTAATTAGCTACAGCCAGTCCCATCACCCACTGCCCCCGTGGCTGAACAATTTCTCAGCTTCTTTGCAAGCCCTCAATCTCATCCTCATCTGCAAACTCTGAGACCTAGTTGTCTGTTCTGTCCCCTGTCAGTGAATCCTTGAATTCCCGACCCGCGCACCGCAATCTCTAAAGATAAGCGACGACTCTTCCTCCAGCATAGTCCTTAACAAGGCTGCCCCACAAGGCTGCATACTCAGCCCCAAACTATACTCCTCATATGCTCGCAACTATCAGCTCTAACTCCACTTACAAACGTGCTGATGACTGCAGTGGGTCGGATCTCCAACAACAACGAGACAGAGTGTTCGAGCTCCTGGGAGTGACCATCACCAACAATCCGGTCCACCCCCCATCGAAGCTGCTGTCGACACAGCACACCAACGCCTCTTGCTCCCTCAGGAGGCTGAGGAAAATTCAGCACGTCCACAAAGACTGTTACCAATTTTTAACAGATGTGCCACAGAAAGCATCCCATCTGGATGCATCAGCGCATGTGGTACGGCACCAGCACGCAAACCAACCTCCCCCATCTGATGCGTCAGGAAAGCAACCAACGTAGAACGTAGAACAGCACAGTACAGGCCCTTCGGCCCACGACGTTGTGCCGACCTATTATCCTACTAAGGTCAATCTGCCCTGCACACCCTACATTTTACTATCCTCCATGTGCCTATCCAAGAGTCGTTTAAAAGTCTCTAAATTATCTGACTCCACTACCCTGCTGGCAGTGCATTCCACACGCCCACCACTCTCTGTGTACAGAACCTACCTCTGACATCTCCCCTGTACCCTCCTCCCATTACCTTAACATTATGCCCCCTCATAATAGTCATTTCCGCCCTGGGAAAAAGTCTCTGATTATCCACTCTATCTATGCCTCTCATCATCTTGTAAACCTCTATTAAGTCACCTTTCATCCTTCTTCGCTCCAATGATTCAAAGACTTCTCCAACCCCAGTTTTACTCTCTTCCACCCTCTTTCGGAAAACACGTATGAACAGATTGAAGAACAGCCTCTTCCCACTGTTATCAGATTTACGAACAGACCTCTCACACGTCAGTGCTGATCTCTCTCCACACCTTCTCTGTGGCTGTAACACTCCAGTCTGCATTCTGCCCTACTACCCTGTCTGGTAGGATTTGCACGCAAAACAATACTTTTCACTGCGTCTCAGCGCACGTGACGATAGTAAATCAAACCATCTCTGGTTCCCCGTGCCTCTGACCACAAGATGGCTTTGCCCCTCACCTCATTTTGCCAGGGGATGGAGACGCTGCCGGTGGCAAACCTGGCATAGAAGTCATTGTCCGTTTGGTCCAGGTTAACCCCTTTCACAGTGGAGAACTGTTCAATGTCCAGCACATCCTTGCAATATACGGCTTGAGGCTAAAGGCGAGAGACAAAAGGCAAGAGACCGTGGGAGACAAGACATGATTTGCCGACAACTGACCCACAACTTGTGCCACAGCTGGGTTTTATGCCAGCCCTTCCTGTGATTTCCTGTGTTCCTGCTTTTGGAAGAAGCCTTCCATGTGGCACTTGGAGCAGATGTCTTCTGGAAATCCAACACTGCTTTCCCAATCAACCCATTCCCAGCCTTAAGGGGCTTGACAGGGTCAACGCTGAGAGAATTTTTTCCCAGGCTGGAGGTAACTATTATGAGGGGGCATAGTTTTAAATGATAGATATAGATATAAAGAGGTAGATATAGGGGACATGTCAGAGGTAGGTTCTTGAGTAGAGAGTGGTAGGGGCGTGTAATGCATTGCCAGAGAGGGTAGTGGAGTCGGCCTCATTAGGGGCATTTAAGCGGCTATTAGATAGGTATATGGATGATAGTATAAGGTAGGGGTGGAGGTTAGATAGACCTTAGGTTTAGGGTAGAAGTTCGGCAGAACATCATGGGCCGAAGGGCCTGTAACTGTGCTGTACTGTTCTATGTTCTAAAGTTACTTCCCCCTTGCACCAACCCCAGCCCCTCCCCTACTCCAACCCCCCAACCCCCCCCCCCCCACCAAACAACACCAGCAAACTCTCACGTCGGGTACAAAGGGGGGCACCAACATGCCAGCCTCGAGCTGGTGGAAGTTGATGGATCGGAAGAATGGATGTTCCTTCACTTCGTTGGCTCCTGCTGCTCTGCAACCGAGTCGCCGTTTGGGATCTTTGGCAAGCAGCTGGAAAGACAAGGGAATGAAGGGGAGATGGAACAGGCGCTGATAATACTAGAAACAAACAGAATTGCTGGAGAGACTCAACACGCCTGGCAGTGCCCGAGAGAAGGAGAGTTAACCGGCCTGATTGCCGGGATGGCAGGACTGACGTACGAAAGAGACTGGGAGATAGCAGGAACTGCCGATGCTGGAGATGCAACTGATATAACAAGGTGTAGAGCTGGATGAACACAGCAGGCCAAGCAGCATCAGAGGAGCAGGAAGCCTGACTTTTCGGGCCTAGACCCTTCTCTGAAATGTCAGCTTTCGTGCTCCTCTGATGCTGCTTGGCCTCCTGTGTTCGTCAAGTTCTACACCTTGTTATCTCTGAAGAGAGACTGGATTGGGTTAGGATTATATTCGCTGGAGTTTAGAGGGATGACAGGATAAGGGGGGGGCAGTATCTCACAGAAACCTATAAAATTCTAACAGGGGCTAGACAGGGTCAAGGATATTGGTGGTGGGGGGAGAAACGTTCCAAACCTGGGGGTCACAGCTGAACGAGCCGAGGTACGGATTGAGATGAGGAGAAATGTCTTCACCCAGAGAGTGGAGAGCCTCCATGGACAGCCCAGTGCACAAGACCAAAGGGGATTTGTTCATGGTGGAGGAAGAAATGCGAGAGAGGGAAGATGATCTCCGATGAGAAAGAGATCTTGATCAATTCGGTCAATGGGCTGAGGAGTGGCAGACAGAGTTTAATTTGGATAAATGCGAGGTGTTGCATTTTGGTAAAACAAACAAGGGCAGCACTTATACAATTAACGGTAGGGGCCTTGGGTATTGTTGTAGAACAGAGAGACCTAGAGGGTTCAGGTACATAATTCTATAAAGTTTGTGTCACATGTAGACAGGCTGGTTAAAAAGGCATTTAACACGCTTGCCTTCATTGCTCAGACCTTTGAGGTTAGGAGTGAGGACGTCATGTTGAGATTGTACAGGACGTTGGTGACGTTTGATCTGGAATACTGTGTGCGGTCGGATGTAGAGAAGGATATTATTAAACTGGAGAGGGTACTTACCAGGATGTTGCTGGAAATGGTGGGGGGGTTTGAGTTATAAGGGGAGGCTGGGATGTTTTTCTCTGGAGCATTGGAGGCCGAGGAATGACCTTGCAGCGGTTTATAAAATTATGAGGGGTACAGAAAAGGTGAATGGCAGGGGTCTTTTCCCTCGGGTGTGGAGAGTTCAAAACTAGGGGGCTTTTTTTTTTAAGGTGAGAGGAGAAAGATTTAAAAAAGACATGAGGGGCAACTTTTTTTACACAGAGAGTGGTTCGTGTGTGTAGAATGAACTTCCAGAGGAAGTGGCGGATGCAATTACAATGTTTAAAAGAGATTGGGATAAGTACATGAATAGGAAAGGTTTGGAGGGATATGGGTCAGGAGCAGGCAGGTGGGACTAGTTTGGGATGATGGTCAGCATGGACGGGTTGGGCCGAAGGGTCTGTTTCTGTGCTGGATGACTCTATAGAAATGTGCTTCCTCGCTGGGCAAGGCCGGCCAATACAGAGGGCAGATTAAGAGTGACCCCCTCCCCTCCCCCTGTCGCAGTGGGTCTGGAGTCACATGTAGGGCCAGACTGGGTAAGGATGGCAGGTTTCCCTCCTCTCCCCAAAACCGTGTTGGGATTTGAACCAGCATCTCTGAGCCCACTCCAGGTGCCAACACGGATTATCCCAGGACGGGCCCCGGGGCTCACCAGCTGACAGATGTCCTTGGTGTCCTCCGTGAATTTGTCGCTGTACTCCTCCACCTGCTCCCGCACCCTCATCTCCACTTCTTCCCACTTCGCTCTCTCCTTCCGAGCTCGGAAGGGTGACTGCCCAGCTGTCATCTCGTAAATGAGGCAGCCTAGGCCCCACCAGTCAGGGCTCACTGTGTATTCCTTGTCGCTAATCACCTCGGGAGCTTCCAAAGGAGGAAAGGAGAGGGAGAAGCAAGACAAAGAACAAAAATCAAGCCTGAGGCATTAAAAAGAAACAGATTTACCCTGAAAAGCTGACCCTCGCTGTCAAAACAGGCTCAGGGCAAGACGGGGGCCAGATTTAGGCTTTTGGGCCTAGTCTAGGCCTTAAGCTTTCTTGGCCGAGCATCGCTGTTGGTGAATCGCACTGTGACAATTCCAATGAGTTCCCGTGTTCACTGACCAGCCAATTTCACATTCCCTTCAAATTCCTTCCCACTTTCGCGCCACACCATCCCCACCACGTTTGGGGCCATCTTCAGCCCTGGCACCCTGCAAGTTCGGACCACCCACCATGCCACTCAGAGTGCCATCGCTCTACGACTGGGCACCTTCAGTTCCTCAATCCCTCCCATGATTCTCCCTGGTCCCAGCCGAAAGGACAGTGTGAGCTGTCAAGTGTGAGCGGTGCCCTTGGAGTTGCGCTAAGGAGGGTGGTGGCATTACTTTCTCTGGAAAACCCTCCCTTGCCCACCTTTTGGAATACCCTGACCCCGCAAAACCCCACCCCCTTCCAACAGGGGATTTGCAGAGAAGGAGGGGAAATGGGAGCCTGATAGCCCTTCTGGGAACCTAGTCCATTCAATGGGCTGAATGGCAGTGTTCCCACTACAACCTCCCAACAACATGTTACAGATTTCCCCGTTTATAATAAAAAAAACTCCAAACCCCTCGCAATGAAGACCACAATCCCCTGGGCCTTCTCAGTAACTTGTACCCACATGCTGACTGTGAGTGTGATTTTGATTTTGTTGTCACGTGTACCAAAATACTTTGAAAAGCTTTGTTTATGAGCGGCACAAGTAGATCACAGCAAGCACAGACCAGAAAGACTTAGAGGCATACAGGTTACATTATTCGAGGTGAGAGTCCATTCAACAGCCTGATAATGGCCGGGAAGAGGCTGTTCCTGAACCTGTCAGTGCGTGTGTTCAGGTTTCTGTATCTTCTGCCTGACGGAGGAGGTTGTAGGAGATCATTACCGGGGTGTGATGGCTCTTTGATGATGTTGGCAGCTTTTCCGCAGCAGTGAGCCGTGTAACCGGAGTCCATGGATGGAAGGTTGGCTTCCGTGATGGTCTGGGCTGTGCACACCACTTTCTGTCATTTCTTACAGTCCTGGGCAGAGCAGTTGCCGTACTAGGCCATTATGCACCCGGACAATATGCTTTCAATGGTACATCTGTAGGAGTTGGTGAGGGACCTTATGGACATGCCAAATTTCCTCAGTAGGCTGAGGAAGACGAGGCATTGTGCCTTCACGACTGTCACGTTTACGTGGGAAGTCCAGGACAGGTCGTCAGTTGTTGTCACTTCGAGAACTTGATGCTCTTCACCCTCTCCACCTCAGTTCTGTAGATGTAGATGGGGGCGTGTTCTCCTCCTTTCTTTCTGAAGTCTATGATCAGTTCTTTAGTTTTGGCGATGTTGAGAGACAGATTGTTTTCATCGCACCACGTCACCAAGCCCTCTATCTCTCTTCTATAGTTTGACTCATCGTTGTTAGATATCCATCCCACTACGGCGGTGTCATCAGCAAACTTCTGGATGGTGTTCGTTCAGAATTTGGAAACACAGTCATAGGTGTACAGAGGGTACAGTAGAGGGCTGAGGACATATCCCTGGGGCGGCTCCAGTGTTCAGTGTTATTATGGAGGAGGTGCAGTTGCCTTATCCTCACTGATTGCAGTCTGTGGGTCAGAAAGCTGAGGATCCAGAGGCAGAAGGCAGATCAAGGTCACGCAGTTTCGAGATCAGTTTCCTGTCAAGAACACCCACAGCCGTCTGAGCTACACTTTTTGCAGTTTCTCTCCATTTCAATAACAGCCTGCCTTCAGATTCATCTGACTCTTTAACCCATCTCCGTGCCCTTCCGTCCTCATCCCACGCCCTACCAGATCGCTGTCGCTGAGTGAACGTTACTCTCGGTTAAAAAGAGTTGACCTTTCACCTTCCTGAGGGAGATTTGGGCCTGGGATCGGAGTGCGGACTCACCCATGTATCCGACAGTCCCCACCCGGCCACTGACTGTCTCCCCCTCCGGGATCATCACTGCCAGTCCCAGATCCGATAACCGAATGTGCCCTGTGCCAAAGAGAAAGGGATGTCAGTGCCCCCTGGCGAGGATGCCAACCCCACCCTGCCAGCTTGCTCCAAGTACCCAAACACGCGCTTGTTCACAACGTTCACAGATAGGGGCCAAGGACGGCAGGTAGAGAACACACTTACACACACCCATACAGATACAGACAGACAGACGCACACAGACATTGAGAATATTCCCCGGTGCCAGCTCCCCATTTTAACGGCGAGCACGGAGAGATTCCCATTTGATGGAATAGTCTCAGGGATACGGGGCGAAGGCCCACGTGTGTGCAGGGGGAGGGCACAGGGGACAACGGCAGACACGAGGGCCCAAATGACCTCCTGCTGCTCTGGTTTCTCACCTCTCTCGTGGGGTGGTGGGGAGGTTGGGGGGGTGGGGTGTTCAGGCATCGGATTATCCCCCCCCCCACCACCATCAGGGAACACTCCAAAACTCCTCACAGGGAGGATCGACACATCCAGAGAAACAAGGCCGCTGAATACCCCTCAAAACGGTCAATTACCCTCCCACCCTCTCCACAACACGCTCTGAGCCCAGCTTTCTGGATTTTAAGTCCAGCGACATTCCCACAATCCCACCACTATCCAGTACATTGACACGAAACACATAAGGAGATGGGGGACACAGGTGGTGGAAATGCAGGAATGAGGAAAATCGACGTTTATCTGAGTTTTTGTCACATTGAAGAAGTATTTAGAAGTACAACCAGAAGGCCGAATGTGGGGAAATGAGAACGCGAAAGGTGTTCGATGGAGACAGCGAGCCACGCTGCCAGATCTGGAAAACTCCATCATCTTGATGGTAGCAGTAAGGCTTCTCGCTAGCACTAGGCTGGACGCATGGCCTCCAGAGTAGGAGCTGAGAACAGTCAGTGTCAGCGTTCACGATGCTGAGGGACTCGAGAGGGGAAACGACGCAGCTTGGCAGGAAGAGGTGATGAACAGAATGTTACTCGAAAGGAAAAAAGCTGCAGCACAGAGAGAGCGGGGAGTCCTCTGGCAGAAATCACAGAAGGTTTGGCAGGTAGGCCAGAAGGCCAACGGAGTGCTGGCCCTTGTTTCGAAGGGAATGGAGGAGAAAAGTCGGGAGGTTTCGCTAAAACGGTACCAGGCACTGGTCAGAACATGACTGGAATACTGTGAATAGTTTTGGGGCTCATATACAAGGACTGGCCTTTGGATGTAGTCCAGAGAAGGTCCATTCGCCTGATCCCGGGGATGGAGGGACTGTCTTATGAGGAGAGGTTGAGTAGGTTGGGGCCTGTACTCCTTGGAGTCTAGAAGGTTGAGAGGCGACCTTATTGAAAGATTCTCAGAGGACTTGACAGGGGGAGATGTGGAAAGGTAGTTTCCCCTTGAGAGAGAGTCCGGGGCCAGGGGGTGTAATCTCGGAATAAAGGGGTGGCCTATTAAGACAGAGATGAGGAGGAATTTCTTCTCTCTCCGAGGGGAGTGAGTCTGTACAATTCTTGAGGCTGGTCATGGTTGAGTCTGGGTCAAGAAATGCATTCAAGGCTGAGAGAGATTTTTAATCAGTCAGGGAATTGGGGGATATGGGGAAAAGGCTGGAATGTGGGAGATGAGGTCAATCATCCATGATTTAAGCAAACAGGGGAGTGGACACACCAGGCTGAATGGCTCCTTTCCTGCCCTCGGTTTTCTGACGTGATGGTGGGTGTATAAGTTCACAGCAAGGAATGGGATACCTACTGTGAACTCCATATTTTGTGGCGATGGGTCCGAAGATGTGCAGATGACCAACAAGTGAGAAGGTGTTTACTTGTTAGTTTCTCAGTGAACGGGGCAGGTGAGAGTGAGGGCGGGAGACGGGGTGGGGCAGTGAGGGAGCGGCGAGAAGGGGTGGCAAGAGGGGGTGTGAGAGAGAGAGAGGGAGAGGGGGAGGGGGAGGGGGAGAGAGAGGAATAGAGATTGATAGTGTGTGTGAGAGAGACGGAGTCTATGATTGAGAGAGAGGGGGAGAGAGAGTGTGTGCGTGTGTGAGACAGACAGAGAGTGTGCGTGTGTGAGACAGGGAGAGTGTGTGAGACAGCGAGAGTGTGTGTGAGACAGGGAGAGAGACAGTGTGTGTGAGACAGGGAGACAGACAGTGTGTGAGAGAGAGTGACAGTGTGTGAGAGAGAGTGAGTGTGTGTGTGCGAGAGAGAGAGTGTGTGAGACAGGGAGAGAGAGAGTGTGTGAGAGAGAGAGTGTGTGTGTGCGAGAGAGAGAGTGTGTGTGTGCGAGAGAGAGAGTGTGTGTGTGCGAGAGAGAGAGTGTGTGTGTGCGAGAGAGAGAGTGTGTGTGTGCGAGAGAGAGAGTGTGTGTGCGAGACAGAGTGTGTGTGCGCGAGAGAG